TAACAGTCTTAATTTATGCAAAACTACCTTATATGGCCGCAACGGCCCGACGTATCGCGCCAAGAGAAGAGGAGGAAGAAGAAGAAATAGAAGTAGAAGTAGATGGAGACGAAGAGAAGAAGACCCCGGATTTCTCTTGGCGTGCTCTCTCTCTCTCTCTCTCTCGCGGGGGAACGCTCCATGAGAATCATTGTTCTCACGCGCGAGCTTTTGAAAGAACGTCCAACTTGAGGTGGCCAGAGCCTCATTTATCTTTAATCTCTTTAATCCATTATTGGTCACTGTTCCCTGTCTATGAGGACGCTCTAAATCAAAGTATTAAAAGTGTGATTTAATTTTGAGGGCTTTGCAAGAGATGGCATTAATGCCAGAGTTTGGTCGAAGACATTTCAATCACGGTTATTGTTTCTTAATGCTTTAATATTAATCCATGATATTTAGTCATTTACTAACAATAGATGCAGTAAAAATCATGTTAATACTTTCCATTTAAAAAATGGAGCTTCCTAAAGAGCATTTTCGACAAGCGTTGTTTTTGTTTTTTAATCAGAAGAAAACGGCGACTGAAGGTCATGGAATCCTGATAGAAACTTATAGTGATGTTGCTACATCAATTAAGACATATGAATATTGGTTTAGACGATTCAAAAGTGGCGATTTCAATGTGTTAACGACAATGATCGCTCGGGACAAGCCAAAAAGCTTGAAAATGCAGATTTGCAAGCATTATTGGACGAGTACAATCCACTTTAGAACTTGCCAAACTATGTGAACCTGGCACCCCACTTTTAAAAAATTAACTTTTAAATACAAAAAATGACAGGACTTTTCGTTTGTAGTGGTTTGTAGTGCTTTTCGTTTTGTTTGTAGTTGCACCGTTTGCAAGAAACCACCAGATTGGACAACTAACAAATGGCAAACTTTAGCCACCGAGCGGTTTATGAAAAAACCGGTGGTATCTTGCAAACGATGCAACCACGTACAAACGAAACGAAAAGCACTACAAACAACTACAAACGACACTGAACGAGATCCCGTAAGCAGTTTTATCACAGCCCGTTCAATGTTGAAGTTTGCAATTTGTTAATTGTTTAATCTTAGTGAAGATTGTTTTGCTCAAAGTCGAGTGCGAGCCATTCTTTTAAATTATTATATTTTTTAAACGGCGGAACTACAAACGATACTATTGTTGTACCGCAAATAATTACAAATGGAATACTATCAGTTTTTGTATTTAAAACTTAATTTTTTAAAAGTGGAGTGCCAGGTTCACATAAGTAACTTACCAGAACATTAAATGTTGATCGTAGAACAGTTACCCAACATTTACATGACATGGGGAAGATTCACAAAGAAGGAGAATGGGTTCCGCATCAATTATCAGAAAACGCCAATTGTGAACAACCGGTTAAACATTTTGCATTTCGTTGATCGCCAGACAAAAATGAAGAGATTTTATATCGAGTTGTTATTGAGTATAAAAAATAGATCTATTTCGATAAACCCAAACGAAAGAAATCACGGGTTGATTCCGGCCAACCATCAGCATCCACTTCGAGGCGCAATGTTCATGGTTCAAAGATATCGCTATAAAATGTATTTGGTGGGATCGAGGTGTTGTGTATTATGAAAATCTGTTAAATCCAAATGAAACTGTCACCGCTGATTGTTATCGATAATACAAACTATACAAATTGAAGCGAGCATTGAACGAAAAACGGTCACCAACGATTACGAACAAACGACGCAAAGTGATCTTTCTTCACGACAATGCTCGGCTTCATGTTGCATTATTAGTGAAGCAAACGCTATTAAAGCTGGAATGGATGATCTTGTCACACCCCGTGTATTCTCCAGATATTGCTCCATCCGATTATCATTTACCATTCCGGTCGATGTAACATGCTCTAGAGGAGGACAAATTTTCATAACTTCGAACAAGTGCAAAAATTTGTTGCAGATTAGATAAACTCCAAAGAAGAATCTTTCTATCGTCGTGGAATCCATCTGTTGCCAGAAAGATGTGAAAAAGCTGTAGATAATGAAGGAAAAAGTTTTGATTAAGATATTATCTCAGCTCATTATCTTGTTTAAATAAATCAGTTATCGTCGCGAAATCCATCTCTTGCCAGAAAGATAAGAAAAAATTGTAGAAAACCAAGGAAAAGCTTTTGATTAAGATATTATCTCAGTTAATTATCTTGTTTAAGTAAATCAGTTTCTGGAAAAAAGAATCTTAAAACTAAATCACACTTTTAATATAAAAAAATGGCCTGCAAAAGCAGCCCGTACAACGATATTGCGGGGCAATAAAATTGAAGAAAACACGTTGATATTAGCTTCCTGGTAAAGTCAAGAAATTCATTCTATTCATTGTCCAAACATTCCCGAAGTCTCTCCGATGATGAACACAATAAAAATATAAATATACCGTCGACGATATCAAGTATCGTCGATGTGAAAGCACGTCGAACGTAGCGAGAAAGCAACTCGACATTTCGAAGGTTTCTTTTCCTCCTATTGAACAAAATTACTCGACTAATATATATAATTTGTTTTATCCCCCGCTCTCTCTCTCTCTCTCTCTCTCTCTCTCTCTCTCTCTCTCTCTCTCTCTCTCTCTCTCTCTCTCTTCCTCTCTCAGCATCCAATTACTCGCGCAAATCTCCAAGAAACAAACAGGATTAAATGCTTCTAGGATTAATCGTGTTTGCGAAACGATTGTGCGACCACTAACGGGTTAAATTCGCGCTCATTTCCTTCTGCGAACGACAAACCGCGAAGCGGATCTCGCCGCTGAAACGTTCAACGTTCACGGCGTACAGCGGCGTTCAGCTCTCGGCCGAGCGCAAACGCCACTTATGCGGCCTGTCCATCGCCCATTATACGCGAACGCGTGTCACGACGAACGTGCCAGCACGTGCTACGTGCGCTTTTTTATCGCGAGCCAGTCGCGGCGGACGTCGGCAATTTCTCCCGCTCGCAGTTTAACGCGCGTTGAATTCGCACGAGCACTTTGAAACGTCTCACGAGGACAGCTGTGGGCATGATAGCGCGAACATAGCGATATCTCGAAGCTCCGCATTTACCGAAGGAGGCCGTCGCGCGAACCTGAGCTAAATTTTACGACTGAAGGCGAGGCAGGTGAGCGAATCCTTCGCTTCCACCGAGGCACCGACGTTAGGCTGGATTCACACTGTCCGTCTAGACCAGGGGTTCGCGGTTTCCAACCTGGGGCTGCGAGGAAAAGTGATTGTAATGTAATTAATAATGATTCAGATGAATTCCGGAATAAACCGGCGAATTTTTACCATCAAATTAAAAAATATGTTATTAAAATTATATATTTTTTACGTATCTATACGTATATATATTCATTACGTGTCACTATGCGTATGCGAAGCTCGCGATACCATGGATAATAATTTTATAATATTAAAATGACAGTTAATTTCTATAAAACAATACTATGTAATAATAGATTATTACAAATTAACTTCTTACCTTAAAACCCTAATAACTAATTTTTAGCATAAAACATACGAATAATTTTTTTTCTGTAAGGGATGCGAAGATTCATTAATAAATTTTTAGGGGTGCGAGATACAAAAAAAGGTTGGAAAACCCCGCTCTAGATGATCAAGTGTCTCCCATGCTTCTGCATTCATTCAGTATCCGTCATCGTCATCATCGTCATTTCCAAAAAAAAAAGCGGTAGATTCTTGCCTGCCGCCGAATAGTGCTGTGAATCCACTAGTCTCAACTGGACGAAGGGGCGGCGAGGAGGAGGAGGAGGAGGAGGAGGAGGAGGAGGAGGAGGAGGAGGAGGAGGAGGAGAGGAGGAGGAGGAGGAGGAGGAGGAGGAGGAGGAGGAGGAGGAGGAGGAGGAGGAGGAGGAGGAGGAGGAGGAGGAGGAGGAGGAGGAGGAGGAGAGGAGCAGGAGGAGGAGGAGGAGGAGGGAAAAGAGAAAAGCAGGAGAAGACAGAAGAAAGCAAGAAATCGTCGCGACGATCGAGTTCGCGAAACGCGCGATTTATCGATGTACAAAGTACGGTATACGGCGCGCGAAAGGGATGGCAGCGGAGGGCGGAGGGGAAGAAGGGGAGCCGCACCGCGAACGGTTTCGCGTTACAGAATCTCCCGGTGGACTGTTATACGCCGGCATAATAACGGAGATAACGGAATGTAAATAGCGCGCGATTGCGCGCATCGCCAACAATGTGCGCGCACAGCCAGGCGCACGTTAAGTGGGCGAGAACACCTCGGGGGGGGGGGGGGAACCGGTCGCCGTCGGCGTCGGTTCTTATCACCGGCAGCAAATAATTAGCGCCGTGCGGCACCGTTTTCTCTTCCCAGAGGTGAGTCGGCCCATTGTAATTAATCGTTGCTTCATTAGGCTCCTTCCCCTCCTCCCGTTTGTTCCGCTCGCGATTTCGCGACGCAACGCGTCCGGCACATTACGAGCACACGTTATTATTACTCTGGCGATAAGAAGCGGAAACGTACCGGCCGTAATACGCGATCGTAAGAAGATCGCAGCCGATGGCGGAGGAGGAGGGGAAGAGAAACGCGCGACCGATAAATCCAATTAATTACGAGCGAAAACACGCCGTTCCCCTCCTCTTCGCTTCCTTGGGGTTCCCCGCGGTCCCCGCAAACGTTCGGCGCGCTCTTGCTGATATCAAAGTCAGGATTAACCGGACGCTAATGAGGCCGCGGCGGCAGTCGCGCGCTCGATACGCCGCGATTTATTAATCGTCCTCGCGCGATCTCCCGGCGCGTGCTCGTCGTCGTCGTCGTCGTCGTCGTCGTCGTCGTCGTCGTCGTCGTCATCGTTACGACGACTCATTCTCAACGCGTAACACGCCGCGGCCGCCGCACCTGCACCGACGTGGCAGACAACGCTATAATCGCCGAGGAAAACGTCCAACGGAGGAGGAAGAGGCGCGTGCACGCACACCCATACACACACACACACATACACGCACGAATATACATACATCATAAGCCGGAATATTCTCCTTGTCACGTATAACGGGCGAACTGTTTCTAGGCGCTATCAAAGCCATCTTCTCGAGCTCCGGATCACCCTATTCCTCCTCTTCCTCGCTCCAAGAGAGCACCCACGAGACCACGATGAACGTCGTCGCGCGTCCCCGCTCCTCCCTCCCGCGCACGTGGGAGTAGTTCGGCGTGACGAGCAGTTTCTCGCTCACCGGCCGCCCCAGGACGTTCTCATGCCCTCGGTGGCTTACAACATCCCTGGGCTACCTCGTGTGTGTCCACCTGGTGCACGAGCCGCAACCCCCACGAGAGTTCGGGCCGACGAGCTTCACGCACGCACTCACACGCACGGACGCACACATGCACACACACACACACACATACACTGTCACTGACTCCCGCCGCCGCGCCGGAGAGTTCCAGGAAGCTCCGACTAGCGAATTGCACGCAGCGGTCTGCCGAGTTGCCGCGAGCGCATTTTTCGCGACGCCTCGACGAGAAACGGCGAGAGAGAGAGAGAGAGAGACAAGTGCGAGATCACGCGTCGGCGGGCATCTCAGAAACGCCGACTTGTGCCGAGGCTTCGATCGTCTGCGCTGGCATTCCTCCGGGAAATCCCCTCACGTGGCGCAGAAGCATGTCTCTTTCTGTGTCTTTGCCTCTCCCCCTTTTCTCCTCGTCACTGCTCCCCTCGTTACTTCATAGAGCCCCGTGTCTTCTACTTTACATCGAAAACACCTCGCTCCCTCCGCGAATAGCGAGAGATGTTTAAACGCCTTTGCGCCACGAAGACACTTCGAGTGGTCCCGCTGCCGCGGTGGCTCTTGCGATGTTACGCTCGGATGAATTAACACACACGGAAGAGAGCGGACACGCGCGAGACGCGGGGGATTGTTTTCCGTCCTCTTCACGACTCCACGCAGAATCGCGCGAGCGCGGCGCCGAAGAATAGAGCGATACTTGCGGAGAGCCCGCTCGCGTGCTTTGTAGCTCTCTCTCTCTCTCTCTCTCTCTCTCTCTCTCTCTCTCTCTCTCTCTCTCTCTCTCCGTCTCTCTGTTTTTAGCCAGCACCTCTCCTTCTCTGAGCCTTTTCGCGCGTCTATGAATAGGTACTTGTGCCTTCCACCACTTTCCCGAGGAAGGTATACTCGCTGTTCGCTCGGGAGAGAAGGAAAGAACGCGGGTCCTTCGCGAGCTGAATCGCCGGTGAAAATTGCGCGCGTAAAAGCGGGATTTTTCAAGAGCGACTATCGCTTGTTCTTCGACCCCTCCCCCCCCGCTTATGAAAACTTCATCAAATCGCGACGGCCGGCCGTTCCACCCTCCGGCCGTGGCCGTCCGTCGCTGCGAAGCTCCTCACTCCGAAATCGCAAAATCCGCGAGAAAGTCTCACGAAAGTCTCTCGAGCCCGACAGACCGAGCGGACGATCGACGTCGCGCCGATCACCGGCCGCTCTTCATCTTCTCTCCTTCGACGCGTTTTCCCCGAGAGGAGAGAAACTTTGCTCCACTTGGAGTCGTTGCTCCGCTCGTTTACTCTCGCTAAAAAGGCCCGTCGCGATTTGAAACGTTACGTAACGCCGAGAGGACGGACAGTGCGATTTCCGCGCCCGCGCGCCGCCCTGACGATGATGACGAGACGGTGACAGAAGAGCAGCGAAAGAAAGACGAGAGACGACGTTGAGGAGAGCGACGACGGGCGTCCGACTCTGTACTGAGGTTAGGCGTTCCAGCGGTTCTGCCATCCGACTGTGATCCCCACTCTTTCTCTTTCTCTCTCTCTCTCTCTCTCTCTCTCTCATTCTCTCACTCTCTCATGACAGTACACAACCTGCCTGCCTGCCTGCCTGCCTGCCTGCCTGCCACACTGACGCGTCGTTATGTTTTTTCCGTCTTACCTGCGTGCGGCGATTACGCACCTCTGCTGCACTAAAAAGGAAGTTATCTACAAATTGCACTTACGCAACCGCATGATTCTGTCTCTCAGTCTGTTTGTCTGAGGATTGTTTGAACGACGGTTTGCGGTATCCGCGCGTCTAATAAATAGAACGTTCCTTCCTGTCACGTGCAGGGGGAAATTCTGTTCTCCTGCCTAATAATGATAATAAAAAACAGTCGCCGGGGCAAATTGCACACGCTTCTCGCTCGTTCGCAAAACGACGTTCGGCATCGAGAAATATCACGTGGGCCTCTCGCGCCGCTTGTCCTCGATACCGCTGAGAGGTTGTCGAATACAAAATCGCCGCCTACATCTGAATTTCATCGGCGAGGGACAGCCGAGCGCGGACTTTTAAGTAATCGGCGACGAGAAACAACGCGTGAAACTCAATTATTGCAAAACACGCGCGCGTAAGAGGCGGCGCGGCGGTTCTCGCGACGGGCGACGGCGAGACACCGTCGGGTTGCGCCCATTTGGCCGCGCGTCTTATTATATCATCGATATAAACGACGATCGATAAAAGATTCGCTTTCGTTTCGGCCGGAAGCAGAATATCAATTGCCGTCGCGTCTCACTCTCGCACACACGACGTCTACGACGATGTCCTCCGCGTTGACCTCGGAGATACCTCCTTCGTCGCGCGATCTTTTCGGTATCTTTTTTTTCACATTTTCCGAGTGCAATCTAAATGAGAGATTCGAAGAAGAAACAAGCAGAAAGAAAATATTCGGAGCGTGATTTAGTTTCGAGGGTTTTGCAAGAAATGGCACTAACGTGTCAGTTTTGTGGAAGACATTCCAAGCACAGCTATTATTTCTTAACGCTTTAATATCAATCCATGATATTCAGTCGTTTACTAACAACAGACAATAGTAAAAATCGTGTTAACACTATCTGAGAAATGGAGCTTCCTAAGGAGCGCGTTTCGACACGCGTTACTTTTGTTTTTTAATCGAATTCAGAAGAAAATAGCGGCTGAAGCTCATAGAATTCTGATAGAAACTTATGATGATGTTGCTCCATTAATTAAGACATATGAATATTTGTTTGGACGATTCAAAAGTGGTTGATTTCAATGTTGGCGACAAAAATCGCAGGACAATCAAAAAGGCTTAAAAATGTAGATTTGCAAGCATTGGACGAAAATCCAGCACAATCCATTTTAGAACTTGCCAGAGCATTAAATGTTGATCGTACAACATTTACATGATATGGGAAAGATTCACAAAGAAGCAAAATGGGTTCCGCGCATCAATTATCGGAAAACGCCAATTGTGAACCGATTGAATATTTGCATTTCGTTGATCGCCAGACAAAAATGACGAGATCTGGTATCAAATGGTTATTGAGGATGAAAAATGGATATATTTCGATAATCCCAAACGAAAGAAGTCATGGGTTGATCCAAGCCAACCAGCAACATCCACAAATCGAGGCACAAATCGAGGCACAAATCGAGAAACAATGTTCATGGTTCAAAGGTATCGCTATAAAATGTATTTCATGGTATCATGGTGTTGTGTAATATGAACTGTTAATAAATAAATGAACTGTCCGAATGAAACACTGTCATCGCCGATCGTTCTCAACAACAATTATACAGATTGAAGCGAGCATTGGACAAAACACGATCACCAATCGCGAGTAAACGACGTAAAGTGATTCTTCTTCACGACAATGCTCGACTCCATGTTGCATTATCAGTGAAGCAAACGCCAGTAGAGCTGGAATGGGAGATCTTGTCACACCCCGCGTATATTCTCCAGACATTGTTCCATCCGATTATCACTTATTCCGGTCGATGCAACATGCTCTAGAGGTGGACAAATTTTCTCCAAAGAAGAATCTTCTTTTTATCGTTGTGAAATCCATCTCTTGTCAGAAAGATGGGAAAAAGTTGTAGAAAACGAAGAAAAATATTCCGATTGAGGTATTCCTTCATTATCTTGTTTAAGTAAATCAATATTTGGGAAAAGGGAAGGAAAGCTCGGATCTAAATCACACTCCTAATATTATTTCTTCGCGCAAAACCGAACGACCTGTCTCGGACATTTTCTGAGACTTTTCTCTGCACGCACATTGAACGGAACGTCAAAGAGGGGAAAAAAAGAAAGGAAAACAGCCCGCTTCTCGCGATCGGTATCTAGGAGACACACTTAATACTAGAGCAACACGACGCGATTCGTCGTATCTCGCGTGGAATCGAGTGCACAAGGAGGAAAGTAAAATTTTGAAAGCGAGAACGCGCGCGATTCCAGGACGCGCATAATAATACGCCTCTGCAACGGTTCGCGAATCGCGAGCACGGATCGGGATAATGGCTATGTGCGCGTCCAAAAAATTATCTCTCTCCCGCTCGCGCGCGCGCGCGTGGAACACGAAAGCCGGTCTAATAAAAGTCGTTAAGGCGAGACCGGAGAAGTCGAAATATTCGCGCGGACCGCGCAAGCGGCGATCTCATTATGACTCGCCGTCGCCGTCGCCGAGTGGAAAGGCGGCGACGAGAGTACAGCCGACGCCTCCGCCTCCGGCACCGCCGCGCCGCGCCGCGCCGCGCCGCGCCGCGCTGCATTCGTCGATGTTCTCTTCTATCCGCGCGAGTGAATTTTTCACGAGAACGCTTTGGGAGCAATTGTGCGAGGGGGGCGTTGCACGACCTATCGATACGGCGTTTTATCGCCTGTATCGAAACCCGAGACAAAACGTCACGCTCGGTCTCCCGTGAGCGTTGTTACGTGGGGAGAAGAAAAAGCCGCGCGTTCTACGTGCTAATTGTTTTCGCCGATGTTTGCGCAATTCGCGATTCGCTCTCGGACATCTCGTATCTGAGTGATCTGAGGCGAGACGCGTTTGCGATACTCGGAACTCGGAATCGTCGAAAATTATAACACACGTAAAAATAAATGTACGTATTCCGGACAAATAAATAAAAGTTTAAATACGCGGAAGAAATAAGAAACGAGTATACGAATAATAAATAAAACAAAATCGCGCACACGGAAGATTCATCGCGGCGGCTGCACCGCCCATTCGCCGCGGGTGGAAACATCGTGTCGCTCGGTGAATCTTCTCCCCTCTGCCCCGAAATCACGAATAAATTGCGCGACGCGTCGTGTCGTGAGCGAGCGACACGTAATTAATTCAGTCATCGATTTATTCGTCGACCTATTATCTATCATCGCGCCAGCGACGTTCGGTTCCGAATGCGCCGCCAGCGCGAACGCGTGGTGTTCGTCATCGCGAGCCGGGCCCTGAAATATTACGCGCGCGTCTCCGATTTATAGGACGCGTAACGGTGACTCGACCTTTCTACAATTAACCTGTCCGGCGAATACGCGGATGTACAAAATACGCGCGACAGGTCTCGGTGCGTCTGTTGCGCGATGCGCTCGCGAAGGGGAATTCGACTGGCCGCGGCCGACAACCGCCGCGCGATTTACGGAGGAAAAACAGACGAAGCGACGATCGTTCAATTAGCGCGCAACTATTGCCTCACCTCGTAAATAAAACGTTTCTTATTTTACGCGGAAATTCTGGCCGCGGGGAACGAACTGACTTCGCTGGAACTGCACTTGTTTGAACGAAAAATAAATATATTAGGTATACGAATGAATAATTCCAAATTTTCAGCTAAATTCAAGGTTTATTTTAAAAGAAAATACAAGAAATTTGTCAATCATATTCGCCATTGTTTTTTATAACTTTAACCCTTTGAAGCACAGCGGCACTCTGGAGTGCCACTTTTTTTATTTCATTTTATTACGTTTTTCAGGTATAAAACACTCGATTTTCTTGCTGTTTTGTGGGTTTTCATTCGAGAAAATTATGTCGAGTATTAAGTATGTTGTAATGTGTAATTCTCATAAATTGTTTATGAAATTGTTTATATAAGTAGTTAAATGCAAGAAACAGTATTTTTTGTACAAAAAATTCGTGTCAAAGAGAACAATTATAGCTATATGGATGACAATTGATATCCTGGGGTTTTCGAGATCGCCGATTACGAATCCGCGGTTGGAATTTCGGAATTCAAAATGGCGGATCCAATATGGTGAACAAAAATGTTCAAAATCTTTGGATTTTGACAGAAATAGATACATGGTGGGTTTTTTGGGTCGCTGACCATGAATTTGTTATCAGATTTCCGAAATTCAAAATGGCGGATCCAAAGATGGCGGATAAAAATTTTCAAAATTCAAAATAGAATTTTCTCAGAACAGTATGGAAATAATTTATGGTTAGTGAATAAACACGCGAATTGAAAAATTCAATAATTTTTTATTATAACAAATTTCGATAATCACAAAATCAAATTAGAAGTAAAAAACTTTATCACGAAATTGCATTCGGAAAAAGTTCAATATCAGATTCGATATGTAGAAATCAATAATAGTTCTCATTTTCAATAATATTGAGAAATATTTTACAGTGAATAAATTCTAACAAATGGATCTTCCTTCAATTATATTAGAAATCTCGTTATGTATAAAGGTGAAGCAAGGTCCAAATAATCTTCAAAATATTCGTTTTTAATAAAGTTGAATACGTTTTTATATGCAATTTGGATTTAAAATTTTGAAGATTCGAACTTACTGATCCAAGAAACTCTATATATTATACTTTTTTTCACAAAGATTGCAAAATTTTGAGAAAATTTTTTCGCCGTATTGGATCCGCCATTTTGAATTTTTTAGCTTCGACTCTGTATTTGTCATCTGTGATCGAAAAAACATATATATACTGAGTTTGATACATATCCATAATATCATATCAAAGTTAGCCACTTGAAGTCGCCATATTGA